GGCCGAGCGGCTCGGCCTCTCTTGGGGTGCCGAGCTGGTGGGGGCACTGCTGCTAAGGCCCGGGAGGCCCGGCTGCAGGGTTTCCACTCGCCCCGTCTTTCCTCAGCGCCCGGAGGCCTGGGCTGCTGTGGGAGATGACGAACTTGTCATGGTTTGCCTGCAAAGCCTCTGCTGCAGGGGGGTCTGTCCCGCACCCCTGAATCCAGGAGCTCCCGGGCCTGGGGGGGGAAGGAGCCAACCCGGGCCTGGCTGGGGTGGGTTTGGGATGAGCAGGAGGCTTCACAGGCACCGGTGCAGTGGGGCTGTCCTCCTCCTCACCCCCCATAAACAGGCCTTTGTAGGGCATGCAAAGCTGGGGAGATTCAAATGATTTCGGGTGAATGTGTAACTTTAATGAAATTACCCATGTTCTTCATTAAAGCTGCTCAGACTTGAAAGGAGACACAGGGAGGAATATTAGGGGAAACAGGTAGTAATAGTAGAAAGGGCTGTTCCCATTTGTATAAGCACCAGGCAGGGTTTCAGCCTCTTCACAGAGCCTGGCACATCAAAGGGGATGTTTGCTTTCCTTGTAGTTTAGACGGGAAAAGGGGAGGAATGAGAGAGGGGAAGAAGGAAGGAAAGCCATCCTGCCATTCTCCAGCTGCCTTTTTATTTTTTTGGTGAAGGAGGCTTATTTTTCCCCTCTCCTACTTTTGTACCGACCATTTTATCGGTATTAAATCTTATGAAGTGAAAACATTAAAGTGACAAAGCGATTCTGTTTGTTTTATAGTATCTAATTGGACTGCTTTGCAGATCTAATGAGATTATGGGGAAAGCTATCGTTCACAGGCTGGAGAATAAACCGATAAATTATTACTTATAGCTAGGAGGCTGATGGCTCCCACCCTTCCCTCTGATGAGTATTAGTCAATGCGGAGAGCCGAGCTCTTGAAAAACACGACGCGCCACGCGGTGCTGCTGCCCGCGGTAGGCGCGACCCAGGCGAAAGGAGGGGCAGCGTTGCGCGCCCCGGTTGCGATTTTTCGGGGCCCCTCGCTCTGCGTGCGCGCACGCTCTGCAGTGCGGCGAGGCGAGCGCTGGCATCGACGGCGACGTTTTCTC